TGTCAAATATCAGTTGACTGTAAATCTATGGGTTTTTTTTTTTCCTGGGTTTTCTATTCAATTCCATTGATCTGTGTGTGTGTTCTGGTTTCAATACCATGCAGTTTTGATTATTATAGCTTTCTAGTATACTTTGAAGTCTGGGAGTGTGATACTTCCATTCCTTTTTTTTTTTTTTTCAGCAGAGCTTTGGCTATTTGGGGGTTTTGGTGGCTCCATATGAATTTCATCAATATTTGTTCTATTTCCTTGAAGAAAGTCATTGAAATTTTTATTGGAATAGCATTGAATCTGTAAATTGCTTTTGGTAGGATGGCCATTTGGATGTTAATTCTTCCAATCCGTGAGGAGGATATGTCTTTCCATTTCTTTGTGTCTTCTATTTCTTTTAACATTGTTTTATAGTTTTCTTTGTATAGGTCCTTTACCTCTTTTGTTAGGTTTATTCCCAAGTATTTGATTTTTTTTTTGTTTCAATAATAAAAGGGATGGTTTTCTTGATTTCTTCTGCTTCAGATTTATTGTTTGTATATAGGAAAGCTACTGATTTTTATGTATTGATTTTGTATCCTGCTAATTTACTAAACTGGTTGATTAGTTTGATTAGTTTTTCTGTGGAGTTTTTGGGGTTCTCTATGTTTATTATCATATCATCTGCGAATAGTGATAGTTTTACTTCTTCCTTCCCTATTTGGATTCCTTGTATGTCTTTCACTTGCCTTATTGTTCTGGCTAGGACTTCCAGTATTGAAAAGCACTGGTGAGAGAGGATATCATTGTCTTGTTCTAGATCTTAAGGGAAATGCTTTCAACTTTTCACCATTGAGAATGATATTGGCTATGGGCTTGTCATATATGGCTTTTATCATGTTGAGGTATGTTCCTTGTATCCCGAGAATTTTGAGGGCCTTTATCATAAATGGGAGTTGTACTTTGTCAAAAGCTTTCTCAGCATCTATTTATATTATCATATGGTTTTTATATTTCTTTTTGTTGATGTGTTGGATTACATTGATTGATTTTCAGATGTTGAATCATCCTTGTGTCCCTAGAATAAATCCTACTTGGTTGTGGTGAATTTTCTTGTGGATACATTGGTGGATTATGTTAGCTAAAATTTTATTGAGGACTTTTGCATCAGTGTTCATTACAGAGATTGGCCTGTAGTTTTCTTTTTTTGTGTTGTCCTTGTTCAGTGTTGGTATTAGTGTAATGTTGGCTTCATGGAATGTGTTTGGTATTATCCCTTCCTTCTCAATTTTTTGAAAGAGTTTGTGAAGGACAGCCACCTGTTCCTTTCTGAATGTTTGGTAGAATTCATTTGTAAATCCATCTGGTCCTGGGCTTTTGTTTTGGGGGAGGGTTTTGGTTACCATTTCAATTTCACTGCTTGTAATTGGTCTTTTGGGTGTTTTATTTCTTCTTTATCTAGCTTTGGGTGATTGTAAAGTTGTAGGAAGTTGTGCATCTCTTCTAGATGGTTGAACTTGTTTGCATATAACTGTTCATAGTAGTTTCTGATTGTTTTTATTTCTGCTGTGTCTGTTGTGACGTCTCCTCTTTCATTTGTAATCCTATTTATTTGTGCTTTCTCCCATTTTTTTTTCTTTGTGAGCCTGGCTAGGGGTTTGTCTATTTTATTTATTTTTTTGAAGAACCAACTTTTGGTTTCATTGACCTTTTAGGTTGTTTATTTAATTTCTATTTTTTCTACTTTGATTTTTATTATTTCCTTTCTTCTACTGGTTTTAGGGTTTTCTGTTGTTCTTTTTCTAGTTCTTTGAGATGTGAGAGTTGAGTTTTTTGAGTTCTTTGAGTTCTTTCTTGTTTCTTGATGTGAGCCTGTATTGCTCTATATTTTCCTCTTATTACTGCTTTTGCTGTGTCCCATACATTCTGGAAATTGGTGTCTCCTTTTCATTCAACTCGAAGTATTTTTTAATTTCTTCTTTGATCCCCTCGTTAATCCAGTCATCTTCCAGTAGCGTTGGCTTCAATCTCCATGAGGTAGGAGGGTTCCTTGCCTTCTTTTTTTTTAAGGTTTATTTCTAGTTCGATGCCTTCATGTCAGAGAAGATATTTGGTATGATTTCAATCTTAGTGTCTCTGTTGATGTTTGTCTTGTGTCCCCATATGTGATCAATCCTGGAGAATGATCCATGTGTGCTTGAGAAAAACGTGTACTCAGACTTTTTTAGATGCAGTATTCTATAGATATCTGTTAAGCTCATGAGATCTAGATGCTTATTTAAAGCTTTAGTGACCTTACTTATTTTTTGTCTCATTGATCTATCCATTGTTGAGAGTGGCATGTTGAAGTCTCCAACTACATATGTATTTTCTCTGATGTCTATTTTCAAAGATGATAATAGTTGTCTGATATAGTTTGGTGCTCCTTCATTTGGTGAGTATATGTTAATGAGGGTTATGTCTTCTTGATGTATTGTCCCCTTGATCAAATGTAGTGACTGTCTGGGTCTCTTTTTTCCTTTTTGAGTTAGAAGTCTGTTTCATCTGATATAAGTATAGCTGTTCCTGCCTTCTTTTTGTTTCATTTGCTTGTAGGACTGTTTTCCATACTTTTCTTTTAGTCTCTTTTTATCTTTTGTAGTTAGATGTATTTACTGGAGACAGCAAAAGGTTGGGTTTTGTTTCTTTTTTTCTTTTTTTTTTTAAGATTTATTTATTTATACATACAAGAACTGGGGTACCGGCCAGAGTTTTGGGGGGTGAGAGGACTCACCAGAGATAGAGCAGGGAACAGAACAGGCAGATCGACCAAAATACACTGCTGAGGGGAGCAGTGGGCAAGTCAGGAGAGGTCTGCTGTACCATGTGGGTCACCTCCCTGACCAGGGATCAAACTTGTGCTCTAGTGCCTGCAGTGAGCTTCATAGGTTGAGTCTTAACCCCTTGTGCCACCAGGGAGGCCCCACTTGGGTTTTGTTTCTTAATCCAGCCTGTGACTCTGTGTCTTTTTATTGCAGAGTTTAGTCTGTTTACATTTAGAGTTAATATTAATACATTAGCATCTGTATTTGCTATTTTGTTTGTCTTTTTTGTGGATTTATTTTTTGTCTTATTTCTTTCTTATTCATCTCTCTGTTGGTTCCAGCTTTAGGATTCCAATCAAGAGGCAGAGAGAGGCCAGCCTTGGTTTAGGAAACAAAACCTGACTTATGCAGTACCCAGAAGACCCATCTGAGCCCCAAAGGTAAACACAGGCTCAGGGCTCAAGGTTGAATGTTACAATGGGCATCTACGTTTCCTTATGTTCATTGATTGTGCAGCATCCTGGTAAAAATCCCTTCAGATTATCACAAGCTTCCAGTAGAGTCATATTGTGTTCCAACCCCCCCCCCAAATATTAGAGCTACTCCTAACTCTAGTCAGCATCCCCCTTCTTCTAGACATGAATAAAAACTAAGGCGATGATGCAGCAGGATAACTCCTCAGTCTGGAAAATAATGTAGACAAAATAGAAATGAACATATAAAAGGACCATTGCTTAATGATTGTTGCTGGAAGCCTGAAAAATCAGTCTCTGTAAGCTGCATCTTCTGATGATTGATGGATGTTTCATAACTAAATTGTACCTCATTGAAACATAGGTAGCAAATAGTGGAGTATGTTTTTCCTGAAATAAGTCTGCAGCTAGCATCACTTCCAGCAATACAGCACACAGATCCCTGCACTTAGCCTCAACACCACATTCAGTAATTATAAATAGTGAGATCACACATCTTAGAAACCAAAACAAACAAAAAAACCTTCATAATGTAAATATATAGTGTTTGACTGGAAGACAAATGAAAACGCATGCATACATACAATTGTCTGGTCACACAGCCAACAAATGTGCAACATGAGACAATAATGGAAACATGGAGGTACATTTGCTAGGTATTGTTATAATTAAAGATGTGTTAGTGGCACAGATGAAAAAAAGAGTCATATCTTTTATGTGGTGGACTGAGCTCACTCTTAAGACACATCATGAAGAGAAAATGGAACTCAAGGAAAAAAATATAGCTATTGTGTGAAAATTGAAGTTAAAAATTCTAAATAGAAGAAGACAAAGATCTCATGAAATTCATTTATAAAACTGGGTGCAGACATTTATTGGAGAGAGTTTTTGCAAATATCCCAAAACAGACAAAAATGTGTTTTATCTTCCGAGGGCAAAAGGAGTTAATAGGAACATAAAAATTATATTTTTTCAGATTTTTTCTGTACTGATTTGATATTGATCTCTTGAATATATAAAGGAGTTGGTGTATGGATATCTAACAGCATATCATATTGTAATTCTATGAGTTTCAAACATTTTTACATGCATCTGTTTATCCATTATTCTATCAAAACTCACAGCTTTATTGTACATTGTTCCTATGATCACTTGAAAAGCCTATGTCTGCTTAAAAATTTTTAATTTTAATTGAAAGGTTCTGACATAAATATTGAGATACCTGATTTTTAATGTTCTCATTCCTCTCAATCATATGAAAGATTTCCCTAATCTTGACTTTCAGCATTCTTTAGGTTTTGCTGTATGCTCTGTATTCACTCAAGTGTACTCTCTCCTCAGGTGAATCTTTTTTCTCTTGAAAGTTTATCATATACAATATACATGTGTTTGTTTGGCATCTGATTTTCATATTTTGTTTTTCCAGTATACTTTCTGTATACTCTTATGTGTGTGCAATGTTACTAAAAATTACTTTTGACTTATAACTTAAGAGCTATTTAGTTTGTTCTAATGGAAAATTGATCTATAAATATTAATTATATATATATTCACTACCCATGCCTAGAAAGAAACATTACTATGGCATTTTTAAAGGAAATATGAAAAAGATATCCCTATAGTCTTCTGACCCCTCTTCCATCTCCAAACCCATCTAAATCTTTCTTGTTTTCTTTTTTTTTCCTTTTTTTTTTACCCAGCATCACCAATTATTTATTTGGAATCAGAATTAAAATCACATTTGATGGTGGTGAAATGTTTATTCTGATACTTCTCCTAAGTTGTAAACTAATGCACAATAAATTACTAGATACATTTTACATCATTTCTTCAGGACTGTGGTTTGTCAATAACTTCAAACTTGGGTTCTTCAAATTTGAAGTTAGGGAACGCATTCATATCTGCTTTGCCATACATTTGCTTAAGCTTAAAAAGCTCTCTACCCAGCTCTTGCTGATATTCTGGGCCGGTATCAACAGGTCCTCCAGATGCCTGTCGCTTGGTTTTGTATTCTCTAATCTTGTCCACAAAGATTTTCTGTACAGGATCAAGTTCCTTAAATGCCACTGCCGTGGCACCAATGTTCCTCCTGAAATGAACTGAGACTGCAGACTGAATGAAAGAGGAGAACTGGAAGAGCCTCTGAAGAATCATGGTGATTCTGTAAAGGACAGGAAACGTCTCAGAGAAAGTTTGCCACCAGACGGCTCTAGGTGAAACAGATGCCAAACAGCTTCTTTTTTGTTTTTTTAGCAAAGTTTTGGGCTTTACTTTTAGCCCATAATGTTAGTTAATCATTATTTTTAGTAAAAATTCAGTCTTGAAAGCAAAACATTGTACATTATTTAAAAATTGTTCTTTTTCTAAATTTATTGTACTCTTAATTGCTTCACCATTACTATTATCATTTTGAGCTGTACCAATCTTTAGATATTCTTAAATTTCGGTAAATTTTTAAAATTTCCCTTTTTCCCCTCTTTTTTCAGTCTTGAATAATAACTTGCTTTAGTATAATCAATCTCAGTTTTTCCTTCTTCAGAAATCTGCAGAACCTGTCCCTTTCACTTCTGCATCTAATATTTCCTAGAAGGTGTGACTTTATGTATTTCTTTACAAGTCAACAGAATTTTCTGAATGATCTCTGGAAATTAGGAGGTTCTTTCTAAACTTGAAGTGTAGAAACTTTACCAAATTCATCTATCTATACCTCTACTCTCTGTTTATCAATCAACCTGTAGTCGATAGAAGGATCAATCTAACCATCCATCCATCAATCCCTTTATCTGTCATCAATCAATCAATCATCTATCTAGTGTTTTCACTTTGCTTTTTGTTTTTCTTCTCTTGTACAGGCACAATAACAGTTTTTACATTGATTTTCCCTTGGTTATGCTCCCTAATTACAACTTTGTTTTATGTCTTTAATTAATTTGTTTTTTGTCCTCAAAACTATATGAGATTTTTTTTTTTTTTTCTTGGTAATACCTTTATTTGCATCTGTAAAATCCAACTCGGGCCAGTTCTATTTGAATTTTTCAAGCCACAAGCCAATAGCTCCCTATTTTGATAATTTTAATTGCAATCAAAAAGTCTTAACATACTATTACAAGTAACATACCCCTCTGTTATTATTTATTATATGACTGAGCATGTGCTAAGTCTTTAATATCATCTTATCTATTTCTTAAAATAATACATTTTAAAGGACATAACATTATTGTCTTTTACAGATGAAGTTCAGTGATATTGAGAAATGTAAACATCCTTTTAAGGAATAGAGAAGCTGAGATTTGAACTAAACTTGTATGACTAGGCAATCACATTCCTGGCACTGTGCTACACTGCCCACTCTTACTGGGGAATTGTAAAAATTTTACTGAGTTGTTTAGCTAGATAAGAGTAGTAATTACTACTGATTACTCAGAGTCTGGTGCTATGCTAAACTTACATGTGTTGTCTCATTTAATCCTCACATTGGCTTCAGCATTGAAATACTGCCATGCTCAAGTCACAGATAAGGAAAACAGGGATCAGAACAGTTAATAAGCAATTTGGAGTAGCTGTTACTGGTAGACACAGAGTAGGTCACGGAGTCAGAATGAAGTTTGCATCAAACCTCACACAAACTCCTGTGGCCACAAATTCCTAGTGATCTAGGTCTACTTGAGTATGGCACTTTTAGGGTTTTATAATGAATATTAACTCATTAATCTGCAACAATTTTTGGGTGCTGAACTACTCCTGGATATAATGAATGCTGCCAGAAATGATAATTTTAAATGATATCTCCTTGATATGACTATCTTCATAGTTTATCATGTCATTTGTTTTTATTTTTTATTTAATTTTTTTTTTTAAATATTAAATTTTATTTTTATATTCCCCCATACAATTGCAAACGCCCCATTCTGACCCCAATCCTTCCCCTCCCGCGCCCCCCACCCCCCAAAAAGTGTCTCTGGTTCATAGTTTTTGTTGATTTTGATTTCACTTTCTTATATTCATTTTCCTGGTCCCTTATTTAAGTTTTCTAGATTCCTGCTATGAGTGAGACCATCCGGTATTTTTCTTTTTCTTTTTGGCTTATTTCGCTGAGCATGATCCCTTCCAGTGCCATCCATGTTGCTGCAAATTGCATGTGTTTATCTTTTTTGAATGCTGAGTAATATTCCATGGTATATATGTACCACATCTTCTTGATCCAGTCATATATTTTTGGGCATTTGGGTGTTTCCAAAGCTTAGCTATTGGTAAAAGTGCTGCTATAAACATAGGAGTGCAGGTGCTCTTTGGAATGATGTTTTCTGTGTCCTTTGGGTAAATACCTAGGAGTGGAATTGCTGGATCATATGGAAGCTCTAATGTTTAGTAGGTCCAGAAATCTCCACACGCTCTCCATAGTGGTTGACCAGTTTGCACTCCCACCAACAGTGCAGAAGAGTTCCTTTTTCTCCACATCCTCGCCAACATTTGTTGTTGCTAGTTTTTTTAATATGTGCCATTCTCACTGGTGTAAGATGGTTATCTCATGGTAGTTTTGATTTGCATTTCCCTGATTACAAGTGATGTTGAACATTTTTTCATATGTCTGTTGGCCATTGCATTTCCTCTTCAGAGAAGTTTCTTTTTAGCTCTTCTGCCCCATTTTTTAACTGGATTATTTTTCTTTGTTTTGCTGAGTTCTCATCAGCTCTTTGCAGATTTTTGTGATCAGTCCTTTATCATTAGTGTTGGGTGCAAAAATGTTCTCCCAGTTGGTGGGTTTCTCTTTGTTTTTGTTATTGTCTCTTTTGCTGTGCAGAAGCTCTTTAATTTGATGTAGTCCCAGCTGTTTATCTTTCTCTTCACTATCACTGCTTTGGGGGTGATGTCTGTAAAGATGTCTTGGCCTTGTGTGTGCAAATCCAGTAGTGTTTCGCCTATATTTCCTTCTATGTATTTTATGGTTTCAGGCGTATGTCTAGTTCTTTAATCCATTTTTGAGTTGATTTTTGTGTCAA